AATTAAAAATACATTATGAAAAGATTAATAATTAATTAAAACTAACATGGTCATTAAACACATATTTAAACATTGATTATATGAGTTGGAACTGAAAGATGTAGAGGAGCTCTCATATTTTTTTTCTCAAGTGATATAGGTTCTACAATCTTTGGTACGATTGTCTTGTGTATTTTAGGAGTCTTTATTCTTCTTCTTATTGCGCTTGTTGAGATTATGACACATTGTTCGGTAATTACCTCGGTTGAGCTAGAAATCGAGGGGTAAAATAGTGTATTTTATATTTGATAACTTATGACCAATTTGATGAAAAAATTAAATAATGAATCTTTGTCGTCCATTTATAAAGTAACAATGATCAAGAAATTGTCAACTAATCAATTCACATAAAACATTATCGATCTGCGAGAAACTCTCACTAGCCCATCAAAACATGAAGGCCACAACTATCCATCTTGAATGCAAAGTGCTTAGACGTAAACTTAACATGATAAAATTAATGATAATGAAAGCAATTGCATGAAGTATAACACTATTCTCTGCGATGGATTTCTAGAGCATGAAAAAATTTTCAAGGTTGGTTTCTTAATGAAATCTCTTATCTAGTGATTCCTTGTTAAAAATGTTTAATGCTGGTTAGGAAATTATGAAAGTAACTTATTTATGTTATTTGTTGTATCAAGTAAAATACTTAATATTGTTTTTGTTGTTGTTGAGATTAATATTTAACGATTCTATTAATTTTATTTATTTGTTGTTGTTTTTGAGATTTAATGTTTAAACATTCTATTGATTTTGTTGTTGTTGTTTGTGTTGTTGTTTTTGTTGTTTGTTGTTGTTGTTATTGTTGTTATTTTTATTTTTTTCTTTGTTGTTGTTGTTGTTGTTGTTGATATTTAATGTTTAAGGATTCTATTGATTTTGTTCATGATGTTCTTTTTGATGATGATGCAGAAGGTTTAAAATTTGTTAACAAATTTGATGCTTTGCATATTAAAACAAAAAAAATGGATTAAAACTAATATTTTGTAAATAGGACTTTACCCAGTCGGGCATTAATCCAATAGAGTAGTAAAGAGGTGCACTTTGAAAATTCAAAAAATATTAATGCTAGGAATCAAACTCTGATCAGTTCCACTTTTCCCCTCCGTGGACCATTACCCGAGGGGTAAAGTGACAAGTTTTTATGATGCCTTTCGTTACCTCATTTATGAAATTTAGGTAAAACCTCTTTTCCAACAGATGTAATATGGTCTTTTGTAGTAGTGATTGGTTGTAGCGCTTGACGAATAATGTTATCTCTTCTTCTTTGGAAATTCTCCATCACAACTATCATTGGCATCCTATACTTTCTTTGTCTTTGACAGCGAACCTTTTAAGGATATATATCTCGCTTCTATTCTTTAACATTCTCTTTCTTTTCCGAGCTTACTTCGCTTGCAACGAGTCTTTTTAGTTTATTCTCATGTTCGGTCAACTTTCCAAATAGTTTTATGATATTCAAATTATTATCATTTGACTCTTTATTGGTTGTAACATTCGGTTGTCATTTCCTACACATAGACCATAAATCTTTTTAGTACAATCTCTTTTAGAAAATGACTTTCATAAATTATCTAACTTGTTGATTAAATGAAGAAAACGAGTTTGCATGGATTCCGCAGTTCCACCAGGTTCTAAAGAGAAAAGTTCATACTCCTATGTCAAGTCTTGATCTTAGAATCCTTAACGTCTTTAGTTCCCTCGTAAAGGACTTGAAGAGCGTTCTACATTGATTGTGAACTCTAGTCTTATGATGTGAGATATAGTAATATACTTTAGCGTTTAATGCAAAGATAAACATATTTCTTGCCTTCAAATCATAGGATTCCTTTTTGGTTTCATCATCTGACCAATCATTTGGGAGTTTAACAGTACCATCGACTTCGTTTTTTAGAATCAAAGGCATGTGGGTGATTGTTATCCAAGCATATTTTTACAAACATCAATTTTACTTACATATTATCCCTCCAATAAGCATAATCTGTGTCTTTTATTTACATATCGTCCTTCGGATTGTCGTTACCCATATTCTCAAACTTTTGGATCGCTTTGACAAGATTAAAAAGGCAGCACTAACGTGAATTACTGGGTGACAACGCGAGAATTCAAATACTTAGAGGGGGGAATAGAACTCCCTAAGTAAGAATGATCGTTAGAAAAAGTTTTGAAAATTTTATCAGAGCTTGAAAACAAAAATTCATTTGCATGGCTGATGCAATGTACACATAAAATGATTATGCTTATCAAACATTATATACACGGTGTACCTTAATCGGTACACAATATGATAATAGATCAAATCAAACAACTAACCTAAAATAACCAATCAAAGTATTGAATTAATATCAAATTTACACAAGGTGTGCAAATGAACAAAGTCAATACAATATGGATTATAACACCATTGTTTCTACCCTCATTTAACAACAAGACAAATTCAATGTGAGGATTCTAACAAAACCTATCTTTAATTTGTAATAACTCTAATGTCCATTAGTGCACTCTATGATTTTCAATCACTAAATTGGGGTGATTAGCGATATTAATCCCTATAGAAACGTTTTTCTAGCTCAACATTGTCTATTTTGACTGCATTCTGCAACATTTCAACATTGTGTATTCTGACTGCATTTTGCAACATTTCAAGAAGCGTTGCCTATTTTAAAATTCAAAATACAAACTGCTTATGACAACACTTATCAAAGTGTTGTCTATTTTCGAATTCAAAATACAAACTGCCTACAGTAACACTTTACAAGTGTTGCCTATTTCTGAATTCAAAAAACAACCATCACATGTATATTTTCTTGTCATTTTGAAACACACTCATGTTTATTAGTTATTATTAATTACAATAACTCCCAACTTGTTCTAGTAATGATAAGATCAATTTCATAAAAAAGGAAACAAAGATTGTTAATATGATTAAGTATCTTTCAATTTGAACTTAACCTTTGTAAGGACAACATAAAGCCTAATTGAAATTTTAGGTAGCAATGCTTTGAACTATTATCTCTTGTGATTAGATCGGGTTAACTTACATACACTCTTTAATGATTCTTCGCCTACATCTTTCACCTAGCACTATTATGCATGTGTTTTTTCTGTTTCGTGAATTTTTCATGAGAGAAACTTTTGTTCTCACTTTGAGACGACACCATCTCGAAATTCACATTTGTGAAGTTTATATTGTATCTATTTTCTTGAGATATGTATTCTCTACATTGAACTTCATTAATTGTTTAAAAAATCAACCCTCAATATGCAAAAGTCATGGAAATTTTGATATAATTGCACCAACTTGAAAAAATATTAGAAATATTTATCTTTACAACCTTTAATTTATTTATAAGAATCTATAACTCATGTACTTGTGAAAGAATGTGTATATGTGTGTAGAGATCATAGAGACGATCAAATAGTGTGTTCATAATATGTCCCCGACATTGCAATTCATTCTCTTTTCGTTTCTTGCGTTCGTTCTTGAGTTCCTCGATATCATCTTCTTGGAATTCTGAAATCGGTGTCAAATCGGGATTCAAGACATAATAACTCTTCAAGGAAATCAGGAGGAATATCATATTGTTTTGCCAACAAGTGAAGTTTGTTTCATCGAAATGATCCAACTTGATAAGGTCCTAGTTCAATACTTTGATGCTTGAATATGAAGCTTCGGTAGCCATTATTTGAGATAGTATTATAGTGTTAGATAAAATTTGAGCTCAAAATATAATGCGCAGAAATATCTAAGATAATTCAGCCTATATTCAAATTTGTTTTCTATGACCAGAAGATGAAAATCTGGAACCTTCTATGATATGTTTTTTGAATCCGAAATTGCCTATTTATAGACGAAGTAGTGTTATTTCACAAAATTGTGACCCTTAATAAAACACACCTTTTCAACAACTCTTCTTATTAAGTGTTTTAATTTTTCACTTTTTATCTACTATTATAACACTTCACAAAATATTGTCATTTTCGAATTAAAAGATAACAAACTGAAACAACAACTATAAAATACTAAAATAACGATTACAACCATGTGTGACGGCTCGACCGGTCATGGGAGCATCGCGGACACTACAAGTAGACAACTAACATACAAAAAGTTTCTTTGAATTCATGTAGCTTAGCTATAACAATTCTTCGGAGAGTGTTAAATCATTTAGTCTAGAATTTGGTCATATAGCTTTGACAACATAGTTATGTGCGAAAAGAAATTTTTTGAATATTTTTTTTACCCTTTTGAAATTCGTGGGGATTGTTGTAAATTTTATTATATTTCAAAAGTTATAATTATTTTGTGTCTTATAATTTTAAGTGAAAATTAAGGAAAAATATATTTTTAATAGAAATATAACTTATTTTCTATATTTTGTTTGGTTAGGAAAGAACAAGATTCAATGACTCAAAAAATACCTTTTTGAAATTCGTGGGGATTGTTGTAAATTTTATTATATTTCAAAAATTATAATTATTTTGTGTCTTATAATTTTAAGTGAAAATTAAGGAAAAATATATTTTTAATAGAAATATAACTTATTTTCTATATTTTGTTTGGTTAGGAAAGAACAAGATTCAATGACTCAAAAAATATATCAAGCTTATATTATGGTACGCTCAAAAACAGCTTCGTAAATCAATCAAAGCAATTAATACCACACAATCATAAAATTAACTTAGTTATAATTTGATGTGACAGAAGATAAATATTTATTTATATATAAACTGGATTACAAAGCTCATCTCAAATATTTTTTATATTCATTACAAATATATATCACGATACTCTCGAGTCTTGGAGGTTGAAAAGCTAGATATTACATCAATTCATAGCTACAAAGTAGCAAAATACATTACTATAAAAAACAAACAGTTTAAAAACCACAAGTAAAACCAGTTATTTAATAGATATAGTAGTTCATAAGTCTCATTTCTTAACTGGATATCATGAATCAAGGCTTCTCACTTGGTGGTGTGTAACCAGGAGGGATATGCGGTGGCCTGAATATTCTTGGAGGTAAAACTGGGGTGGGGGTTTGTGGTGGCCTGTAAATTCGTGGGGGTAAAACAGGGGTAGGTCGTGTATATTCAGTAGGGTTAACACGACTAGCAAAGCCTTGAGGGAAGAGAATGAGAGATGCAAGGAACAACACTAGAAAGGATATGGAAAAAGAAGCCATCTTAATTATTGTTTTTCAGTTTTGGTGCATGTAACTTAGGACTACTACTCATGTTTTATACTGGAGTTTTAAGTGCATTATTGAGTGGTGGGTGCAGCTATTGTTGACAATAAGACTTAATCCTACACCTCACAAAGCAAACCAAACTTTGAAAAACTTAAGGGTACAAAATTCAATACAATATTAATTATTCCATTCTCAATTTTTTTTAGGTTATTTATCGTAGAAAAAAATAAATAAAATGAAATAATATTTTTATGGACGGAAGAGTTAATAGGAAAACTAAGAGAAGAAGTCATATGAGAGCGTCACATATTAAGTTGTGATATTTGAAAGATTAAAATTAAGTTTTTAACACAAAAATTTGAAGGTTTGGACAAACACAAAAGTGTAAATGATATGTGGATTAAGTTCGTCCAAATAGTGGTTAAAGAGACTTTGAGAGAATCAAGAGGTTTTGGACCTATGGATAAAGAATCGTGGCGGGGGAATAAAATGTTAGAAATACATGTTGTTTTCGGATTTTGAAATATTTGCCACCGAAGAAATTACCAGGTTGAGTCGCGGACTAGGTCGCTCTCTTTAAGACGTTTCGCGGTACTGTTCAAAATTATGCAAAGCAATTGAACTACCGCGCCGCCTCCAGGAAAAAACAGTGCAGTTCTATACAGTACGATTACTAATTACATGATAGATAATCGGTCTAGTAATACACCCTCTGATGGTACAAGACCATTCAAATATGTATCAACACTACTCGTAATATCTGGTACAAAGACCAGTCATAATAATTTCTCAAACAAAAAGAAACTCAAATAATTCTTCAAAGAGAAATTAATAATGGTCATTTGACCACTCATAATAATTTCTCCAACAAAGAGAAATTCAAATAATTCTCCAAAGAGAATCCAAAATATTAAACTTGAAAATTTCTCAACTCAAATCACTACAAGAAAGATGGTCCCCAGCGACAAATATTAGCGACGTGGTTATCACGTGAGTAATAAATGCAGTTGCGACGTGATAACCACGTCACAAACATATTTTAATGATAAATAAAGCAAGTCAGAGAAGGTTGTTTAGTAAAAAAATCAGCGACGTGTCTTACACGTCGCTACAGAAAACGAAAATTTAATATGTATAAACTCTGAGACATTTAGTTGGAGGGAGTATAAAATTATTTTGAAATTTGGTAGTGACGTGATAGCCACGTCGCTACATTTAAGGGCGGAAATTAAAGTTGATTGATGACAGGGTGGCAGAGTGGGAAAGTGAATTATATTTCTGTTGAGTGTGTAGCGACGTGAGTCTCACGTGGCAATGTTGCGACGTGACAGTCACGTCGCTACTTGATGTTTACATCTTCACAAAATTCTCATCCGTTACAGCATCTGGTTTGTTTCCTCTTCCTTTCTTCTTCCTTTCTTCTTCCTTTCTTCTTCCTTTGTTTACCTCTCAAACCCAAATTCCCAAATCAAATTTCCTCCATCTCAAATTGATGAAGAAGAATAAGGTATTCATATTTTGATAAATTTTTATTTCATTTGTTCATTATTTATTATACTGGTAATAAATATTAAAAAGGGTATTTTGTTTAACCTGTAGAGAAATTTGAAGAAGAACACCAAGAGCTACACAAGAAGAAGCAAATTAAGTGAAGAAATTATATAGAGGTATTTATGCATTTTTTTAATATTTTATATGTATTATATAGATTAGTAGTATATGTATTTTGTTTATGTGAATTAAAAAAATATTTTACTTAACTTTAGTTTTAGGTTAATTAGTATTATAGGTTAATGTTTAAAATAAAATAAAAATTAGAATGTTTTATATATTAATATATTATTAAACAGAAATATTATTGTTAATATATATAGGTTAATATTTATTAATATTATTGCAGTTATATAGACATATAAAAAAAATTTGTTAGTATATACGTATAAAATAAAATAAAAAATTTGAATATATATTAAAATAAAAATTTTTAGAAAACATAAAATTAAAAGTCTTATTTTTTATAGATGTATATATATATGTTAACACATAAATTTAATAACATATTTAAAAACAAAAATGTATATTATATTTATTATAATAGTTTTATTTTTTTATTTGTATGTTAAAGATATGAAAAAAAAATTATATATTAAAATAAGAATTTATAAAAAACATAATTAAAAAAGAGTATATATATTATATTATTATTTTAATATTATTGTTATATATATAATAAAAAGTATATATGTTACATTATTTGTTTTCTAATATTATTGTTGTATATATAATAAAAAGTAAATATGTTATATTATTGTTTTTTGATATTATTGTTATATAATAAAAAATTATATATTTTACATTTGAATATTTATTTATATGTTAGTATATATATAAAAAAGCAAAATTTATATTTTTAAGAATAGTATTAAATAGTTTAAGAATAATATTATTAAGTTGATTAATATTTCTAATGAAAAAGACAATGATTGTATAAATGTGCAGTATGTAATATTATCGGTATTATCGTAGTTGGATGTACGATAGAACATATCCAGGAAGAAGTGGACTTAAACCCAATTTTATAGTAGGAGTTGATGGGTTTATTAAGTGGGCGTTTGCTCAGGATTGTTGTCGAAGCGAAGGAGGGGTTAGGTGTCCCTGTCTTAAATGTGAATGTAGACCAATAATTAGTGACCCAGAGGAAGTAACACGTCATCTGCATAGAAGGGGATTCATTGAAAATTATTGGGTTTGGACGTATAATGGTGAAGAACTACCGGTTAATGTACAGAGACTAGCAACACGCATGCTTCAAGTAGTCGACCGGTTATGGAGTATGAGGAGAACTTTAATTTGATCGGTGACATGGTTGAGGATGCTTTTGGTGTGAACGTGACATATGATGAACCTGGAGATTTTGACGGGGAAGAGTTGCCGAATGAGGAAGCGCAAAGATTTTATCAATTATTGAACGAGATGAATACGCCGTTGTTTGAGGGGTCGTCAGACTCAAAGCTATCAATGTGTGTGAGATTATTGGCCGCCAAGTCAAATTGGAATGTTTCTGATCAATGTCTGGAACATTTTGCAAAAATGATGTTGGACTCCACCGCTACGAAAGACAACTTGCCTACAAGTTATTATGATGCAAAGAAGTGGGTGTCGAAGTTGGGTTTAAAAGTAAGAAAGATTGACTGTTGCATTAACGGTTGCATGTTGTTTTATGACAATGAGTTTGGTACTCAAGATGGATCGTTAGAGGAGTGTAAGTTTTGTAATAGTCCAAGATATCAAGTTCGCAGTAGAGCCGTTAACAGCAAGCAAAAGCGTGTAGCAGTAAAATCCATGTTTTATCTTCCTATAATACCAAGGTTAAAAAGAATGTTTGCTTCAATGCACAGTGCAAGTCAAATGACATGGCATCATACAAACCAAACAAGTTCTGGCACTATGCGACATCCATCTGATGGTGAGGCATGGAAGCACTTTGATCGGACACATCCAGATTTTGCTGCAGAACCTAGAAATGTCAGGCTTGGATTATGCTCTGATGGATTTGCCCCATACGTGCAAGCGTCAGAAAGTGCGTATTCTTGTTGGCCAATTATTCTAACACCTTACAAGCTCCCTCCTGAGATGTGCATGACAAAATCATACATGTTTTTGACGTGTGTTATTCCAGGCCCGCACAGTCCAAAAGCCGGAATTGATGTGTACTTACAACCTTTAATTGATGATTTGAAGAAGATGTGGATTGGAGAATGGACTTATGATATATCCCGTAAACAGAACTTCACATTACGAGCTGCCTTGATGTGGACCGTTAATGACTTTCCAGCATATGGCATGTTGTCTGGTTGGGGTACGCATGGAAAAATGGGGTTGTCCGCATTGCATGGGATACACCAAAGCATTTACGTTGGATAAAGGTGGGAAAAGCTCATGGTTTGACTGCCACCGCAGATTCCTACCAGCAAATCATCCATATAGAAGAAACAAGACAAATTTTAAAAAAGATGTACGAGAGAAAGATTTGCCTCCGCCTCGATTGCCACCAGGGGTTATATGGAACCAAGTATGTGAACTACCAAAATTTACAGATACTAGCAAAGCATGCTGAATTGAAGGATACGATGTCACCCACAATTGGACAAAAAGAAGTATATTTTGGGATCTTCCGTATTGGAAAGATAATTTGTTGCGCCATAATCTTGATGTTATGCATATTGAGAAGAATTTTTTTGATAATGTATTTAACACAGTGATGGATGTGACAGGAAAAACAAAAGATAATGAGAAGGCCAGACAAGACATGGGAATTTGGTGTAATCGAAGAGAGTTGGAGTTGAAGCCTCAACCGAATGGAAAATTATTAAAACCCAAGGCTTGTTTCAGTCTGACTTCCCAAGAAGCTAAAGCGGTTTGTCGATGGTTAAAAGAATTGAGAATGCCCGATGGGTATTCATCAAATTTAGCAAGGTGTGCTGACCCTAACACTGGAAAATTACATGGTATGAAAAGTCATGATTGTCACATTTTTATGGAACAGTTGCTACCAATTGCATTTGGATCGCTACCCAAACATGTTCTTGACCCACTAACTGGAAAAGTTATGTTTTTTTTTTAAGTTAATAACAAAAATAGTGACGTTATTTTCACGTGGCAATCTATAAGTTGTGGCGTGATTATCATGTGGCAACTGATAAATTGCCACGTGACTGATTTTCATGTGGCAACTGATACATTGCCACGTGAAAATCACGTGGCAATTCATAAGTTGATTTGTGAAAATCACGTGACAAATTTTTAATATATTTGAATTTAGTATAATTTAATATATAAATGTTTTAATTTAGCATAAATTTAATATATATATATATATATATATATATATATATATATATATATATATATATATATATATATATATATATATATATATATATATATATATATATATATATATATATATATATATATATATATATATATATATA